GGCAGCAGCTCTGGGAGCCGGGGGCCTGTCTGGGAGCTGGGGGCAGCGTGGCGGGAGAACTTCCTAGAGCAGTGGTCGGCAAACTCATTAGTCAACAGAGCCAAATATCAACAGTACAACGATTGAAATTTCTTTTGAGAGCCAAATTTTTTTAAACTTAAACTATATAGGTAGGTACATTGTTATTAACTTAATTAGGGTACTCCTAAGGCTTAGGAAGAGCCACACTCAAGGGGCCAAAGAGCCGCATGTGGCTCTCGAGCCGCCGTTTGCCGACCACGGTCCTAGGGCATCCTTGGCACAGCTGAAGTCAATCATTGTCGCTCCGTGGTTATCTGAGTCACCCAGTGACAGCGGCTCTGTGCATGCAAAGGCCAGGGGGCATGGGCTGCTATCCGGTTCCCAGGCGTGCCCCCGACGCGTGCGGTGTGGACCTAATTTCGATCAGCCATCAGCATAAGCCAGTCCCATGCCGACTGCCGTTCCCCGCCCATGACTTTGTGCCTCCCTTCTTCTCATTCCCAGATTCAAGGGTATAAGTCACTCGGTTGTGTCTGTACAAAGAGATGTAAGGAATGACTCAAAAGCTAGAGGCCACGTTGGGTGCTGTTTATTTCATGAACTGTTCTTTGTGTTCCTCGGTGAGTGTTTTCACTTTCTTCCTTCACACTGGTGGCTGTCAATGGGCCCATCTACGTGCCCAACAAGCCCAGACACTCCAGAGGCACCTGACGCTGGAACCTGCCTGCCCGAGAGACAAGCATTGCGCTTCCCTGCTTATCTGCAGTTGGAGGCGATCTGTTTGTAGATTACAGAGTTTGCCTGATCAGCAGAAATTGAGGTAGAGTGCTGTGATTCAGGTCTTTTTTAAATTTTGGAATAAAATGAAGTTTGAGTGATGGTCCCCTTGGATCTGAAATCGAAAACCAAAAGAGATTTGGCAGGTCAGTGATTTCATTTTCCCCATTTTAAGAAAAAGAAAGAAAGAAAAAGTGAATGTGGGAGATTCCCCTGGAATGGTCACTGAGACTTTGGTCACTGAGACGTTGGCTATTTCACCTGAATGTGTGATTCAGCTCCTGGAGCGCCAACTCCAGGTCCGAAGCCAAATAAATGAACGCATCGCATGGGGCCCAGGAGCGTCCCAGGTGTGGACACGGGGCTGCAGTCCCCTCTTCTGCCCTTTCCTCGGGGTTTGGGGAGGGAGTTTGAAGAGGCAGGTGTGGCCCAGATGTGGACTGCCCTCTCACTGTTTGTGGTAGTTGGGACAGGGCCTTTGTCCCCTGACATTCTTCCCATGGACCCTCAGGGAGCCATTTCTCTTCCATCATTCTTCTATCTTCCTTGGGGAAGCTCCTTCCAGGAGCACTTCCCCCCAGATATTCCAGGGATTGATCTTCAAAATACTTTCAAATCTCCCATCAGTCACACGTTGCCCTAACAAGAATCCTGTGACCTATGTTGAGATGTTTTGTCCCCATCTCACCGATGAGAAACAGGCTCAGTGCTGAGGAGTGTCGTGAATAAGCTGGGTCTCAGCTTCTGTACCCTTCCTCCTGGGGCCCCCACCAGTAATGGTGTGCAAAACCCAAGCCTCTGCCATTCGTTCATGCATGCATGCATTCATTCATTCCACAACCACCCATTCAACCACGTTTCCCTGCGGAGTCTCCCGCCTCTTCCTTAAGGATAAGGGAACGTCCTGGAGCCCCTGAAATGGGAGGTAATGCATACAATATACGCACACCCGCCCACTGCAAGTTCAATCTGTCTTTTTGTCCTGTCCTACACTCCACTGCTCCATGGAAGGGCCCCGTAGAGTCGCATGGCCACCATGTCAGCTTCTGTGGTCGTCACAGTGTAGCCACCTCCCCAGCTCAGAGTTGCTCTTCAGATCCTGGGGCCTCCCAGCCCGTGTTGAGTGCAGTAGAAAAAGAGCCCACACTTTCTGTGTAAAGGTTGCTCACCCCTCACCCCTTATTCAGGTAGGATCGTCCCATTTTCTAAAGTTAAGCCAAGACGCAAACAAACAAAGCAACTGCCCATGGACACGAATCAGTGACAGACAGGGCCAGGTCTGGGGGCAGGATCTGGGACTCACACCAGTGCTTGGTGCTGCCTCCTGCATGTCCTGGCAGTGCATCCAGCTCTCTTGTATAACTTTTTTACATCTAGATGTGGCATTGCCACCATCTTCCACTTGTGGTCCACTTTGACCATGAGATTGTTTTTTCCTGTCCTCTCCTAGTTCTTTGTGCTGTATCTCACTTCCCAATCAGAGCAAACTTCTGTTGCAGATTCTGGGAGGACCTGTTGTAGACGTTTTATATATATTAACACATTTATTCCTTGCTGCGACCCCTTGAGGGCAGTCACATCAGACGAGAGAGGTCATGTTATTCCCCCAGCCCTCATTTTACAAAGAAGGACCCAGAGGACAAAGAGATGAGGCTGTGTGCCTGGGATGAGGCAGCAGTGGTGGCAGAGCTGGCCTTTGCCCTCAGGCAGGAGGATGCCCACTGGATCAGGCCTCTGTGCTGCCTCTCCCTAGGTGGTTTGAGATGTGGGGCTGTTTCTGTGCTCCCCAGACTGTCAGGCCTTATGGGTCCTCGATCAGGCCTCAGTGGACAGAGTTGTCATCCAGTGTTGAACCTGGGGAGTTGGGGGCTGTCCCTAAGTTTATTTCCCTGCTCTCTGGCTTGATGGGTACCTCTGAATTTCTTTCCCACTCTCTAAGGCAGTGTTTCTCAACCTTCTGGCCCTTTAAATACAGTTCCTCATGTTGTGACCCAACCATAAAATTATTTTCGTTGCTACTTCATAACTGTAATGTTGCTACTGTTAGGAATCATAATGTAAATATCTGATATGCAGGATGGTCTTAGGCGACCCCTGTGAAAGGGTCGTTCAACCGCCAAAGGGGTCGGCTACTTCATTGTAATGTTGCTTCTGTTAGGAATCGTAATGTAAATATCTGCTATGCAGGATGGTCTTAGGCGACCCCTGTGAAAGGGTTGTTCGACTGCCAAAGGGGTCGCGACCCACAGGTTGAGAACCGCTGCTCTAAGGGTTTGTATGTCCACTTTGTTCAGTAGTAGCGGTTATTCCGGCCAACCAGGGCACTTATAGGGCCCACAGAAGGTGCCACGCCCACCCTGTGTGTAGCAGGTTATGAATGGAGGTGTAATGGGGCAGTTCCTGGCCTGGCCTGAGGGACCCTGCCACCCACCTTAGAAGCCCCTGTGAGTTAAGGCTCCTAAGTGGAAGGTTCCCAGGCAATCCCAGCACACGAGACCTGCACAGACTGGAGTGGTCAGGGACCCCCAGATCGTGGAGGGCAGGGGATTCGTCCCATGCCCTGGAAGCTAGGTAGAATTACAAAGCACGGAGGAGGGAGGGTGTGCAGGTAGGCAGCACAGCACATGAAAGGGGATGAGGATGTCCTGACTCCTGTGTAGGCCCCGGGGGGTGGAGGGCAGGGGCACAGGAAGCTGGGGAGGGTGGTGTGGGCAGGACACGAGGATGGACAGCCACGCCTGGCTCAGCTCTGAAGAGGGCAGTTCCCCATTTGGAACATAGGGTTAAGCACCTTGTACAAATGCTGAGCGTCTGGAGCGCCCAGGATGCTGGCAGCAGGCAGGGTGTCCACTGTGGTCTGTCCTCATCCCAAGTTCTTGCCCTGCCCGGCAGCAGTTCATTCCCTGAGTGCCGGCCGGTGGCTTCCCCGGGCAGCCTTCAGGTCTGGCCTGTCTGCCCACTCCGCCGGGAGAAGACACCACATTTAGCTGCCAGCTCACTGTGACTCTGCACTTCTCCGACATTCCTGAGATATTGAGGAGAGTGAGCCTCTGCCGTTGGCACCAGGATCGAAGGCAGGGTGACAGGACGTCCCCCATCGCCTGTCCTGGGAATTAGATGGAGAGTGTGCCGAGCACAGGCGTCTATAACTCGGATAACCCTCCTGGCCGCCAGTGGACAGCTTACATTATCCTCCCATTTTACAGAGATGGACACTGAGGCCCAGAGCGGGCAGATGGAGAGGGTCCACGCCCAGATTTAGAGCCAGCTCTGGCTGGCTGCAGGGCCTGGTGCTCGGCCACTTCAGGCCCCTCATGGCCCCTTCCTCACTCCGTGCTGAAAGAGAGCGGCACCTCGAGTCCCCGTTACTGTGGAGGGATGGAGCACCCTGGGTGTGCACACGGGATTCAAGGCTGGGCAGTGACCTCGGGAGCCCTCACAAGCCCAGGCCTCTATTCTGACCCTGTGTGAGGAGCACTTCTTGGGGTCGACCCTGGTCGCCTTTGGCAAACCATCTGGTCCCTCTGGGCCAGCCCGCTCGGGCTCCTGGAACCAGGAGGCCTTGCGAGGGCCGGTGGCCTGCTTGGCATCTTCATGTGTCCTTCCTTAGCAGAGAATGTCTCCTTCATGTCAGCGGCATGAAGGCGGCCGCCGCGGTTGACTTAGCCCTGCCCGCATTCGGTGATTGTTGAATGGCTGATGACTGAGGGAGCGAGTGGATGGTGTGTTCGGTCTGAAACGCGCTCCCTCTGAGGGCCCATCCCCGACAACCCAGCGGTGAGTGGGTTTCCCTCCTCTTCCTCTGCAGCTGCTGAACTCGCTGTCCGTGAACCCTGACGCCAAGTGCAAGTATGGCCTGTACTTCCGCGATGGCAAACGCAAGGTGGACTACGTCTTGGTGTACCACCACAAGCGGGGCTCGGGCAGCAGGACGCTGGCCAGGAGGGTCCTGCAGAACGACG